AAGTAAATAAAAAGTATTGGACTGCCCAGTGTTAATATAAATACTTATAACAAAGTGACGCATGGACAGCGGAGGCAGAGAACATGTCTCCCTCTGAATCTGGAGCAGCGCCCCCTGCAGGAGGCAGCTGGACACGCAGCTGACCCGGCCCTCCAGCAGAACCTCGCTGCCCTTTGAGACCTGAGGCTAAAGGTCAGAAGGTCGACCTTTGACCTCCAGCCTGGGGGGTCGGGGTACGAAGAGCTTAACTGATGATAAAAGATCATAAAGACAATATTTACTCAGCATTTAGGATTTTTATCCCAATTTTCTTTTATTTCAGTAAAAACATAAAACTTAGAGAAAAACTGATGATTTCAAACAATCAGGATCCGTTCATCTAAACTTTAGATTTTCTGTTTAACGTTTTTTAAATTCAAATCTTTTTTTTAATACTTTTTTCAGATTTTTAATATTTCAAACCGTCATTTTTTAATCCTTTCATCCTTCACTTCCTCCGCTGATGCAATCCCCTCTGCGCCCTGCAGGCGTCGCTCACGGCCCCGTCATCGCCGGCGTCATCGGCGCCACCAAGCCTCAGTACGACATCTGGGGCGCCACGGTGAACGTGGCCAGCCGGATGGAGAGCACCGGGGTCAGCGGCAGGATCCAGGTGAGCCGCCCGTCTGGGGGGAGGGGCTTCTTACGTCACCATGGCGATTCTCATCACCGCCTCCTTCCAGGTCCCAGAGTCCACCAGCTGCATTTTGGTGGAGCGAGGCTTCCTACGGCAGCTCAGAGGGGACATTTACGTCAAAGGCATCAGCGAGCGTCACGGAAAGGTTGGTAGTTGAATTCCAGGAGCTGAAAGGAACGATGACGGAAACGCTCCTCCTCTCTCCGCAGGTTCGGACCTTCTTTGTCAGCAATCGGGACGAGCGGTCCAGCTTCGTGGAGCGCGGCGGTGGGCGGGGCTTCAGCATGAACAGGAACACGCTGGGAGCAGTGGTCTACAGTCTGGTTCAGGCCAGGAAGAGGGAGAAGCTGAGGGAGGAGAACGGAGGCTTCCACCTGGTGAAGGCCTCCTGAGCCGCTTCCTCCCTCTGACCTGCAGACGCTTTCCAGAACAATCTGGAAACTTTGAACCGCTTTAGAGAGAAACCCTGAGGCCTCCAAAGTTCTGGAAGAACCGGATCTGAACCACTGCGGATCGGAATTGGACTGGATCAGAACTGGACTGGAATCGGATCGGACCGGAATCAGACTGGATCGGAACCGGACCGGATCGGAATCAGACTGGATCGGAACCGAACCTGATCGGAATCAGACTGGATCGGAACTGGACCGGAATCAGACCGGATCGGAATCAGACTGGATCGGAACTGAACCTGATCGGAATCAGACTGGATCGGAACCGGACCGGATCAGAATCAGACCAGATTGGAATCAGACTGGATCGGAACCGGACCAGATTAGAATCAGACCAGATCGGAATCAGACTGGATCGGAACTGAACCTGATCGGAATCAGACCGGATCCGAATCAGACTGGATCGGAATCGAACCTGATCGGAATCAGACTGGATCGGAATCGGATCGGAACCGGACTGGAATCGGAATCAGACTGGATCGGAACCAGACTTGAATCGGACCGGATCGGATCAGACTGGATCGGAACCCGACTAGAATTGGATCGGAACCAGAATCAGACTGGTTCGGAATCGGACTGGATCGGAACCGGGCGGATTCTCATTGTTAGACGGAAAAATATAAAAGCTACGGATCCTTTCAAGCTTCAGTTTTATGACGTTTTTGTAACATTTTAGTTCCTGAAAGTCGAAATAAAAAATATTGAAACTGTTTTGTTTTTTTATAGAAAAAAAAAATAGAAAATTGACACTGTGTTGCCGATCATCTTACAGGAGAATGGGATACGGAGCAACAAAAAAAATAAAATAAAGGAAGCCGGCATTCAACGTCACACTGACGTTAAATCATGTCTTCAGTGGCTGGCAAACATTCTATTCAGTTTATTTCTATAGCTCCAATTCACATCATGTCATCTCAGTTCACTTTATAGATCCAGATCAACCAGATCATCCAGTCAGATTGATTCAAAGTTGGCAGCTGCACTGTGATTGGCTCAGTTATTTCATCCAGACCCATAGATGTCTGTCTATTAGTAGCTACCTGTTTTCTAATCAGATCTATTTAACAGGAAAAACTCCTCATTCAGCTTCATTCAGCCGAGAACAAAGCTACGCCCAACTGTTGTGTCACGTGACCAAATGAGCTCATTTCATTGGCTAGAAGCTGCTGGACTGCAGAGCTTAGGTCCCTAAACTTCTTGCATCTGATGTTTTTTTACAGCTGGAGGCTCTAACTTTTCTCTCGGTTTCTAGATTTCATCCAAACCCGTTTTCATTTTTTCTCAGCTGGTCTTCATCCAGCTTTTAGTTCAATGATCTAATTCTTCCATCGGCTGAATGGATCTGCAGGGGTGTGAATACTTTTCTCCATGCTGTGAGATGCTTTAAGGACCCCCTCCTGGGGATGAAGGACCTCCTGGGCTCTGATTGGTGGGTTTGGCGATGACTCCTCATCTCAGAAGCTGCTGACCCGTCACGCCTTCGACGTGTGAGGTCACGGCGCCTTAACCATTCAGCCTTTGTTGTTGCCCCGCCCCTACTGTAGTCTGAAGCATGACCTTTGACCCCCCATGGGGTGTGTAACAGGTTTATGGTCCTCCTCCTCCATGGAGCTCCGTCAGCCAATGGCCTGCAGCCGCCCCCCCCCACATGACTGTAGGGAGGAAGAGGAGGAGGACCTTCCTCTACAGGCAGCATCATTAAAAGGCTGAAGGGAACCAGGAGCAGCCAGAACTGGACCGAGGAACCAGCATCATGAACGGAACCACCACTGAAACTAGGAACCGGACCGGGTCCGATGAGCTCGTCTTCTTCGTCAACGGGAAGAAGGTAAGACTGGAGCGGAACCGGATCAGAACCAGGAATGTCTCTGTCTGCATGGAAGCATCCGGATGAGGAGAGTCAGGAGGTCCAGAGATAACCGGGTCTGAAGAAGTTCTGGACCAGAACCGCCCTCATGGGTTCTGCTCGGGTCCGTTCCTTCCTCTGACTGTGACTCTGCTGAACTCTGCAGGTGGTGGAACAGAACCCGGACCCTGAGATGACTCTGCTGACCTTCCTGAGGAGGAAACGTAAGAGCTGATGTAACCAGAACCTTCTGGGCTCTGAACAGAACCAGAGGGCTGGAGTGGGTGAATGTTTACGGGTCGATGTTCTGCTGAAGCCGCCAACTTTTACAGACCTGACAGTTAATCATTTCCCAACGCTTCAACCTTTAGATCCTGATCGGATCCAGCAGCTGGATCAGATCCTCCTGCTTTAAACTGGCAGGTTCTGATCAGATTCTGATGAGGATCTGATTAGGTTCTGATCAGGTTCTGATGAGGATCTGATGAGGTTCTGATCAGGTTCTGATGATGTTCTGATCAGGTTCTGATGAGGATCTGATCAGGTTCTGATGAGGATCTAATCAGGTTCTGATGAGGTTCTGATGATGTTCTGATCAGGTTCTGATGAGGATCTAATCAGGTTCTGATGAGGTTCTGATGATGTTCTGATCAGGTTCTGATGAGGATCTAATCCGGTTCTGATGAG